GATTGATTTACATAACTACCTCAAACACGATGGAGGAAGAGGAAGGAAAACTGGTATGGCTTTATTAGTAAATAAAATTTCAAATTTAACGATTATAGATGTTGATATCAATAAATCATACAATGATGAACTTAAAGAAACAGTTGGAAAAGACATTCTATCAAAACTTTCGGATAAAGATGTTATCGTTAAAACCGCTTCAGGAGGTCTTCACATTTATTGCAACACTAATTTCTTCTATTCAACCTCGAACAGAATGATTAAATGCTATTCCTGCAATGATTATGATATCGATATCATGACTTCTATGGATGATTCAAAGCGTTCTTTAGTAGTTATGGCTGATTCAAGAGTTCGCAAGAATGCAACAGAACCAATCAATACATACTCATTCATTCGTGGAAGTTACGATTCAACATTAACCAGAACAGTGAATGATATATTAAATGATTTGAATATTAAGGTAAGAGTTGAACAGAAGAATGAAGAAATAAAGACTATCATGAATGAAAACAAAGATGTAAACATTGACGATAAACTTGCCCAGAGCATAGTCGATGGTATTAGTGATTTTGAAGTACATAATGACGGTGGAAACATGAATTTAGAAAAAGAAGTTACATTATTCACACTGTTTCAAGCGATTAATTCGTTACCTAATCATTTAATTAATGAAGCATACAATAACGTTTATAACTTCTGCAATTTAACTGAAAATGCAAAAAGTAATTTTGAAAAAGCACGTAGTAGATATGCACATTTAATGACTTCTCCATTTGTTTTAGTGAAGATTCTAAAACTATACCAAAAGGAATATTATGATGAATACGTTTTACCTTTATTACGTAAGCCAAAAATAACATTTGATATAAAACTTGATGACTCGTTTTTGATAACAGATATTAGACGCAAGGCTGAAAATCATCAGTATAAAAACAGTTCTGAAGTAATTGAGGATTTATCACGTGTAATCCGTTTTGTAGATTGCGGAAATAAATATTTCATTCAAAAGGACTATAATATCCACGACAAAATGAATCAAATATCATTCATTCTTCAATCAAACATGAAAGAGTCACTTAAAATGATTAAATTATTTAAAGAAGAAGGTAAAACAATAACAGCATGGGACGTACTATTAAATCAATTATCCTCATTAACCGTTAAGGGTGTTTGCTTTAAATCTGATTCTCCAGATGTTTTCTCAACATTTCAAGGTTATAAATACAACGTTCTCGAAAAGCCTGATTACTCAAAAATTGAGATGTTTATGAATTTCATTAAAGAAGCCATTTGTGATAATAACGATGAAATGTATAAATACCTTCTCGGCTGGATTGCATCAATGATTCAACATCCTGGAATCAAGAATGAAACAGCAATTATTTTGAAAGGACTTCAGGGAACAGGTAAAAACAGATTTACAGACATTATTTCTGAACTTCTCGCCGGTTATTCATGTAAAAACATTACCGAAATAAGTGAGCTAACGGGTAATTTCAATTCAGTAGTTGAGAATAAAATGTTTCTTGTACTTAATGAACTCAAGAATGTAGGTGAAGACAGACTCGCAAACTTCAACGCTTTGAAATCAATTATTACGGATAATGAGATTAGAATTAATGAAAAGAATCAACCCAGAAGAACTGCTCAGAATGTTGCCAATTTCATTTTGGTAACTAATAACGTTTACCCTGTCAAAATTGAAGTTGGAGACAGAAGATACGTAGTTTTAAGAGTTAATGGTAAATTCAAGGGTCAATTTGATTACTTCAAGAATTTAATGGATTCATGCACAAAGGAATTTTATGATAATTTACTGACGTATTTTATGCAATATGACCTTTCATCATTTAATGTACGAATCATACCGATGACTGAAGCCAAACAAGATTTAATAGAATTATCAACAAATCCTTTAGATGTATGGATAAATACACATTATGATGAATTGTGTGCAGGTATGACGTGTAAAAATGCTCTATTCTGCAAACCATCAGACATGAAAGACAAGAATTTCCAAATGAGCATTAAGGATAAATGTGATAGGAAACAGAGAAGAATAGATGGTAAACAAACATGGTGTTATGTTTTGAAAGAAGAAATGAAAGGATTATATAAACAGGTTGAACCAAACGATAATGAGGATTCATTTACTGATGATGAAATACCTGTAAATGAAGCTTTATAAAGTATGATTGGAATTTATTTTTGCATTAATCCTGCTGTGTTGTCAAAATGTCATGTTGTCATCATTTTTAAGAGAAGTTAATTAACCTGGTGACATGGTGACGTAGTGACACCTTCAGTTCTTCAAAAATAATTCATAAATGCCTTCCTCCTTTCGTACCCGTTGTCAAAATGTCATGTTGTCATCATTTTTAAGAGAAGTTAATTAACCTGGTGACATGGTGACGTAGTGACACCTTCAGTTCTTCAAAAATAATTAATTATTGAATAACCTAAAAACCATTAACGATAAAATAACTGATAACAAAATTTTATTTTTATATAAATGGATACCCCACAAGCTCAAAATTTACCACGAATCATAACAAGGGAGGAAATGATAAAAATGATGCAAGAACGAATTAAAAACAACAAACAACGAAAACCGAGAAGATGCGGTTATGCAGTAATGATGGAAAGAAGAACCCAGAAGGGTTCGGCGTCTCGAAGAGACGTTGTCGAAGAGGAATAAAAATTAAATTTGGATAGAGTTTAAAAATTCATCTTTATTAAATTCATCTCTTCCAATCAATTTATTTATTCTATTAAATTCTTTATTTTTGCTTCACTCAGTTTAAGGATTGAACGGTAAGTTTCTAATTTTTCGATTATTTCTTTCCTCTCTTTATCGTTTTCAATTACTTTAGTTTTATGGGCATCAACCCCGCCGCATTGCAGCTTCTTTTTGTAATAGCATATTTTTGATTTAATTCTGTTTAGTTTCTTTTTATATTCATCGTCTGGACTCTGAATCTTAATTGAATCAGGACTCTTGGATGCTTCGTTGTCACTCATTTCTTACGAAATAAAAAAATTAAATATTATTTAAATATAATGGAGTAATAAAATAAATCGGAATTTCTATTAATTTATTGTTAACCTCAACTAATGCATTGCCGTTAATATATCTAATAAATTCAGCTATTGTGTCAAATCTTCATCTTCTTTTTGTCATTGATTTATCAGTTTTTCCATAATCGAGATGAATCAAAACTTTATCCCCTTGTTTAAAATTCATGAGCCCCGAATTAATTTGTTCACGTTTAACATCATTTAACCTTTCCATTTGCTTTCTAATATATTCCCATTCTTTTGAAATATCATTTTTCATTTCCACTGGTTTCATGTTTATAGTTCTATGCCATGTATTATTGGAATAATATACTAACTGCTGTATGATGGAGTCATTATTTCCATCCCAGTATATCCGACCGTTAACTCCTAACGCATCTCTAAGAGTTCTCATTACCGCATCAACTATTTTATTATGAAACGTATATGGAGAAGATGAAAAGTAAAAATTAATTTGTGGGAAATAATGAATCATAGCTGCCTGAAATCCTTTATCACCATCGCCCCTGATATTATCTACTCTTTCATGATCTAGTAAGTATTGAATAGCTCTTCTTGTTTCCTGTTCTGTTTTCCCTTTCACCGGAATGCAATATAAATATCTAGTGTTAATGTTAATGGCGAATAAATAAGTAACGTTTCCTTTTGAATATTCCAGATGATCGATTTCGTATGAATATGGATATGGTGCAAATGAAGGGCGACTAAATTTTTCCTTTAACGGTTGAATTTTCGGGTCAATTGGTTTATTTAATATCTTGAAATCCTTTTTAAAATCTTTTTGCTTCTTTAATGTTTGAAATGGATATAATAAAGTGAATGATGAAGGATTAACTGAAGGAGGAGGAGGTACTACCGTTGGAGGTTTTGGTGTTGCAAGTGGTTTAATTTTATCTGCTTTGATTTTGGATGATGAAGTTTTGGATTTCATTCCCCCCTTCATTAATTCTGGATGTATTCTATTCATTTGTTTTAAATATGCTGTATATAAAGGTTTGATATACTTTCCCGCTTCGAGTTTATGTTGAAGGATGAATTCCAAAAGTTGATCTTCATTTAAAAGTCGGGCTGAATATGATTTAACTAATGAATCATAAATTAAAGCTTGTGCTTCATTTATGGTCTGAAGGACCTGGGCGTTTTGCACCTTTAGCTGTTGAACATTTGGCTTTTGCGGCTCGGGATTATATAATTTATATAATTCATCAATATCTTCTTCTGTTAATACTTTATTTTTGAAATCTTTCAACTGTTTAAGTTGTGATTTAGTTTTTCCCTTTGTATATTCATTATTTTTAATTTTGTCTTTAATTTTAGAAATTATTTTATCATGATATTTCAAAATTTCATTTTTATAATATGGATAATAATAATCCATATCATCACCCGTTATATTGTTATTATGTTTTTGGAGATATGATTTTAATTCATAATAATTAAGAAAATTTTGATTAAGTACTAAATCATAAATTAAATTTTTTAAATCTGTGTTATCCATTTATATAAAAATAAAATAAATGTTTTAAGGGTGCCCACCTCTTTGAATCATAGTATCAAAACCATTATTTACATATTGAATCGCATCATTAACGGTTCCTTTTGTCTCTTCTGTGGCATTTTATTAAAAATAAAATTTTAAATTGTATTAAATAAATTGCATACAACATCCATTTTCACAACATACAGCCTTAGTGTGTGCTCCTGTTAATGCAGTCTTACCGATTGTTAAGCGAGTCATTGACCTGTTTTTAAGTTGTAAATTAATATTCTGACCATCGAAAATAACTTTATCATTTATTATATCCAAATAATTTTTAGGTGTTAATTGCTTATTTTGCCTTAAACTAACACCTTTCATTTTTTGTGCAATCTTTTTAAAATCACTTCCATCAATTGAACCATTGAATGATGTATAACACTTAGGGCATAAAGCAACCATGTTATCACCTTGTTTCTCAATTGCTAAACCCAATAACTTCTTCTCATGTGCTTTTTCTTCAGCTTTATTCTTTAATTTAGGTTTAAATTTCTCATCAAAACAGAAGAAATCAAAAGGTGCGAATTTGAAAATGTTTTTATCATAAAATTGTTTATCGGTAACAATTGCTTGAAATGCTTGAGTGTTAGGAAGATTTGGGTCGCCAGCGATTGCCCAATAAGATGAATCAGTATCACCTTCAATGAAATGAAAACGATTAACATTCATGCATTTATACATAAAATCATAAATGAAAACCAAATACCAGTATTTTGCGTTATCTAAAGTGAAGAATGCCTCTTGTAAACATGTATCACATCTATAAAATCTATCTTTAAGCATCACTTGATATGTATCCTCACCTATTTCTCTTATGTTTTTAAACTTATTTGACATACATGCAACGCGTGCCTTCTGTGCATTCATTATTTTAGTCTTTGCGTAATTTTGTGTATTCATTGCATCGTAACCATATGATCCATTAAGTGAAATCTTGCAAAATAAACTTTTTCCTTTATTTCCTTCTAATTCAGCCTTTTGTCTTTCGTTCATAAATTTGTTTGCAAATTCATTAAAACAAGTGTTTTTAGTAAATGTTAAAATTGATTGAATATCATCGATGATAAAATGAAATCTGTCGATTAGATACCAAAGATAATAAGAAGAAAATGGTTGATATTGGTTGTGTGTTGATGCTAACTGAGTTAATTTCCTCTATTTCTGGTCAACTGGTAGATTGTTTGATTTCATGTAATTATACATAAAACTGCCAATTGTTTTTTCATCTGTGATAATATAGGGTGTCCAAAGGTGCGTTTAGCACAGCGCTCTATATGAGACTATTAAAGGAGATATATGCTGATTATAAATATATAATAAAAAATATGAATATATGTATATGATGAGTATGTTGTATTTTGGCGCCATGCCGGGATATAAAATGAATTTTGAGACAAGAGGCGGTTTCGCGGGAAATTTTGGCGGGATTTTTTTCATTTTTTTAATGAATCATAAAGAAAACATCCTCGCTCTTGCAAAAAAATGCAAAGACTGTAAAAAAATCTACGAGCCATTGGTAAAATGCTTCGGTATGGATGCTCCTAGCTATTCCACTGTAACGTATCATGTTAGGATGTATCACTTCATGAACAAAAAGGCGCCCATCATAAAAATTGACAAAAAATCGCCGGATCAAAGAAAAATCAAAGCAATTCTTCAAGCGCTAGATGAAGACCCAAGAGCATCACTCAGAAGGATAGAGGAGATGACAAAGATACCACGTACAACAGTCAGTTATTATCTGCACAATTATTTGAACTACAAACTAGCGTATACACGTTGGGTTCCGCACAACCTTAATTCAGTTCAAAAAAAATCTAGAGTCCAATCTTCGAAAGAGCTCCTCTCTATATTGGGTGCGTATCAATCCAAGAAGTTTCGCTTTTTAGTAACAGGGGACGAGTCTTGGTTTCAATATGCAACAGAAGCCAAAATCATGTGGATCCCGAAGGATGAAAATCCGCAAACATTCCCGAAGAAAAAAATTGACACACCAATGATGATGTTGTCGGTTTTTTGGGGCGTGAATGGCATCATCGCAATTGATATTCTTCAAAAACCTAATACGATGAATGCTCAGTATCTAATTGACAATGTTCTTACTCAAATTATCAATTCTGATGAGTTTGAGAAATCCAAACAACAAAAACAAAAGTTTGCAATTCATTTTGATAATTCAAGAGTTCACAAAAGTCATAAGGTAATGAATTACTTGGTGGAAAACAATGTCAAAGTTGTTCCAAACCCAATTTATTCACCTGATATTGCACCCTCTGACTTTTATTTATTCGGCACGCTAAAAAAGAGAGCTGAAGGACGCGAATTCGCGAGTCCAGATGATCTCGAAAATTTTGTAAGAGAGCAATTTGAGCAATTTTCTCATGATGATTTAAAGCGTGTCTTTCAAGCCTGGATCGATCGCTGCGAACGCGTGATTGAATCCAATGGTGATTATATTTAAATAAACTTTATATATATGTAACTTGTTTATTTCTATTCGCAGTATTCAGGTTTGTGCTAAACACACCTTTGGACACCCTATATCTAAGTTTCTTATTATCGGTAAAAAGTTTATGTAATCATTAATGTATTTTTCATCAATGTGACCCTTTACTTCAGCCACGAATAAAGTATTTTTCTTCTTAATTATTCCCAGTGCTTTTGCTTTCTTTGTTGCTGTATCACAAATGATAACACCTTTCAATCTTCCCGGCATATACATTTTATGGGCAGTATATTGAATGAAATCATGAGGATTAGATGAAAATGATGAAGGATATAATGAATTAAAGTCAACACCAACGAAATGAGTCATGATGTTGGAAGTGTCCTCATTTGATACAGTTTTAGTTTCTGGATTATATGAAAGTTTATTAATGTGCGTGATTCCTTTAAGATTAACACGATGTTGAACATTTGATAGACCACCAGTAATTCCATTACGGAGAATGTGATAAGCTTCAACTGAATCTAAAGTCATTGGTAAATTATTTTTTAATGCATAATTTCTTAAATTGATTCTTAAACGTTGAACATTTTCATCTTTATTTGATTTTACAACATTGCAATAACAACACATTAACTGACAATTTTCTTTGGTATGTGGTTTTTCATTATCTATTCTATCCAATGTTGGTTTATTAGCATATGTAAACGCTTTACCACACATTTTGCATTTAGATGAAAGGATTAAATCATGATAGTATTGAAAATCATCCATTGAAACATTATTTTTAGTATCTCTTTCTGCTTTTTCATCTTGTTTCTTATATGATTCAATTTTATATTTCCAATACTTTTTCGTTAATTCAAAACTTGATTCTATCTCTTCCTCAGGATATTTTTCATTAGGATTAAAGTCTTTATATGCTAAAGCGTAACGAATCATTGAAGCATTCGATGATAAAGAAAGATTATGAAGCGTGTCAATTTTATAAACAAATGTTTCTTCAATAATTTTATCAATTGGGTCAATCATAATTTCAACATCTTTATTGCAATAATGAATAAAATATTCTAATCTATTCTTAAAGTTTTTAGCATCATTGAGATATATTTGATAATCACTATCTGATATAGTTTCTTGAGTTAATGCTGAATAAAATGAATCTTGAGTGAATGGTTCCACTTTATATAATTCTTCTTCGTAATTCTCCCATGTGATAAATTGATAAGGGAAAAAGGATTTAACGCGTGATTTATTGTTTCCGAAATCTTGAGTGAATTGGTCTAATGTCCCACCCGCTATATAATTTCTGATGTCAATAAATCTCAATTCATATGGAACGTTTGTTTTCTTTACAATGATTTGCTTAAATTGTGAAGAAGAACCCAGCATTGATTTTATTTTCCATTTTGCAGTGTTTAAATCACGAAGAATTAAATTTAAATCAAACTTTCCCGAATTAAAACCTATGATATTCACTTTATTGAATTCCCCATCTAGAAGTTCTTTAAATGCTTCCTTCTGTTTTTCATTTAATGTTTGCGGCTTCATTAATTCATCGTATTGACTCATATTTGATTCAACAACTAATGAACAGGTTGAAAATAAAAACTCAATCCAATCAGAAATAAAAGAATCACTCGAAGTTAAGCAAAAATTCCTCGTATACGTTTTATCATTTAATTTAACCGTTGATGATACCATGAATGGTTTTAAGTAAGCGTTCAAAGTTGCACACTCGGAAAGTTGTAATTCTTCTTTAGTCTCTAATGTTTCAAAGTCAAAAGTAATATAATATCTTGTCGGTTTATAATATTCCTGCAAATTGTGAGCTAATAACCACTGATATATCTTCTGTTTCGTAATATGTGGTGCATATGGTTGCTGGGTCTTTTGCAATTGAACGTCTTGAATTAATCTTCCATTATTTTCTTTACATTTCTCACAATGCTTTAAAAATCTTCTTTGGTTTTTCCTTTCTGGGTCATCACGGATAGAATAAACTTCTTCTTTACAATATGGACAAACTTTATAGCCGGTGAGTGCTTCAACGTCTGTTATTCTGTCAGCGTGAAGTTTTCCACATGGACTCTGTGTTAATAAAATATTTACTGTTTCAAATTCTGGATCTATCATTATTGATTCCACTAATGGAAAGTCTACCTTATTTATGTCCACGTCTTCTGGTTGAGGATCACAATAATAGAAATCAATATTAACATTTAACATTCTCGCTAATCTCTCACTTTCTGATGAAATGTCAAACCCTTCATATGCATCTATTGCTTCATTTAAATAGCTTCTACGAGTTTTAGGATTAACACCATCAGGAATGTTATAGAAGCGTTTAAATAACCTTCTACCTTCTGCTCTAATTTGATTATCATTCATTTTAGCTGTTCCGTTTTTGTTCATTTATGTAAGAATAAAAAATTAAAAAATAAATAAAAATAAAGTTTATTTTTTAAAGCCCATAAAATGAATTAAGAACACATAAATTTTTATCATCTGCGACGTGACGAATACATTTTAATTTACTCAAGAATGCGTACCCTGATACATTAAATCTAATTCCTGTCTTATTTAATTTCACAACTTTGAAAAGGAATGTATGAATAGCTATAAAATGATGAGAAGATGTTTTATGGGTTGCTTCCATTTTTTCTGAAATAAATGAATAAATATAATGCTTATAAGTTTTCATATCTTTTATGTTCTTAATAACGAATGGTATAGACCTTTCCACTTCGTCTTCCTTCGGTGCTGTTCTTTCATATGAAACATTATTAATATCTTCAACAATGAAACCACAATCACACAAAATTTTATAGGTTCCAATGGTTTCTTTTGATATTTTATCTAATAAATCAAAAACTTTATCAACACCTGTGCATTTATTTAAATAATAATTTGTGTAAATATCATGATCTTCTTTCTTAATCGTATTAGTTGCATATGTCACGTTTTTAAGAGTTTTTTTGAATTTTTCGGAATCTAAAGGTGGTGAAAATAAGAGACAAGGGTATTCTTCATTATCAATAAATTGTAACTTATGTTTACGAATAAATTTAGTACCTTCTTCTGAAAGTGTTTCGTCTATTTCACCATCTAATAAATTTTGTGTTGATTCTGAGACATAATTTTTATATCTTTCTTCATGAGATTTCTGTACTTCTGATTCTGAAGCTGGGATATTCATTAAACCTCTACTTCATTTTCATTATATTTTTCAACTTCTCTTAATTCCTTAATTTTTTCATCTATTTCATCTCTTATTTTTTTCAGTCTTTCAATTTCATCGTATTCATCATCTTTAATCCGTTCTTCATAATATTCAGGGAAAACATCAGGTTCTTTAGGTTTTTCTTCTTCAGATGTAGGATATAAGAAATTTATAACATCATCTTTATTCATTTTTCCATCATAATCTAAATCATTTAATAACTCCGCGAATTTTTTACAATTTCTTAAATAATATTTATTAACTTCATAACCCACCTCCTCTAATATATCCTTTATTTCCTCGTTTGTGAATCCTAATTTTTTAACGTTGTTAGTTTTGACGCTCATTTCATACAAAATAAAAAAATAAAATAATAAACATAACCAAGTTTTAATTTTTCGTAAGAAGTTTATTTTTTATTCATGAAAATAATTATATCTGATTTCTTTTACTCTCTCGTACATACTAGATTTGAAGAATTCAGAACATTTCCCTAACGTGTGCCAGTTATTATATGAAACTGAATAAACTTTATCCTTATCTTTACACCTTTCATCACTTCCAATATATTTATATCTCAGTTTTGATTTAGCATTTTCATATTCATTAGCGTTTAATAATTCACAGTCTTCCTTTTTAAATTGATGTTTAAGATATTCAGGATTTAATACTCTACGTTTATATACTCCTAACTTAGTTCTAAAGGTTTTTCTACAAAATTTAGGAATTCCATCCTCTTTAATGTCATCAATGATTTCCATTTCATTATTTTCAATTTCTTCTTCTCGTTTATGAGGTCTTTGATTATGACTCCATTGATTCCATGAAATTAAATATTCTTTATCATTATATTTATACCTCATTAGCTTATTTTGGCTTTCATATTCATTTCATAAATTCACAATCTTCATTTTTAAATTGAAGTTTAACCCATTCAGGATTTAAACAATGTTTAATTAATCGCGGAATATCTGACATCATCTATATATAGCTTCTTTTATAAAAGATGAAAATGAATTTTTAATTAATGTTAATTTTTTTAATGATTTATTTCATTATGTATGGGCTGAGTGTAAATGTCTTACAATTTTGAAAAATTTTTAAATCTTGATTTATTCAAAAACGTAAGAATAAAAACCGTAAGAATCATACATTTTTTACTTCATATGTTAAAAAAAATGATACAAAATCGCTCGATATTGTATGAATTCTTACGTTTACAAAAAAAGTCACTAAACCCTTCATACCCTACTACTTTTGTTACATTGCAATTAATACTACTTTTTTTCTATGAAATGATTTGCAAATATAAAGGGAATATTATATTTCCAATTATAACCAATATCGATGATTTTTAATTTTTCAAACAAATATGTTATACACTAAAGGCATGAATAAGGGAAATATTGCACACGTAGGCAATGGTATTTCATCACTATGCTGACGTTGACTCCTAGAAGGTAATGTTTAACCCTAAGAACGAATAAAGTTTGATTGTTTTAGATCAAAAAGTGACAGCAATGAATGAAATTCCTTTAGAAGACGTAAAAGACACTATTGCTCAACAATCCAACGAAGAATTATCTAGTCCGAGGAAAAGAACACTCAATTATATAATATTTTCATTTATTACTCTTTTAATTTGCATTTTATTGATATATTTCATTAAAAAGAACACATCATCATTTAAAAATCTCAGCGTCGAACTTTTTAGGAATATTAATGTCCAATCAAGCGAAAACAAGAATTACTTCAACATATTTTTAAATTTTTCACCGATTTCTCTTTATTCTCAGCTATTCAAAGTCAAAATTACAGCTTTTTCAGACCAATACTTCGATACAGACAAATATTACCACTTCGATTTGAACTCAACTCAAGAATTTTTCAATAATAAAAAAACGATTTCGCAAAAATCAAAAACTAACCAACATTTCGATCTAACATTCTACAAGAATGCATCAAAATCTAGTAGTTTCAACATATTTCAAGGCATTCTGAGAAATACAACTCCATTTCAAATAAATCTTCAACTTTCATGCGAAAACATACAAGATATCAATACATTTACTGTTACATACAGATATTGGACACCTTGTTCTAGCAAATACATTATCTTTATTAGAACTTTAACCCATTATTTCGGATTTATTTTGATTTTTTTCCTAAGAAAGAAAAATTTTGTCATTTTCGGTATATTTAGTATAATTTCAACCAATCCATTATCATTTTTCATGCCATCACTTGATGAATACTCTATTTACTTCATTTGTTATAGTTTTTATCTGATTTCGCTCAGATGTTTCGAAAATCAGCTTTTTATGAATCTGATTGACTCCCAATCAATGAAATACATGATTTGCTCCATCTCATTTCCACTGATTGAAGTTATTTCTTTGTTTTTTTGTACAAATTTCGAAGAATCTTTTTCTTTCATCGGAAATCGCAAGATTACAAAGATTAATGCCATATTCATGATACTATGTGAGGTATTATCAGTAATTCCTATTTTAATCATTTCTTTTTCAAATTTGCAAAAGAAATTTTCAATTTTTTTGTTGAATCAACTTGTTTTTGTTTGTTTTGTCCTTTTTGATATTGCTGTTTCATCTTATTCAATTTTTCTTGAGTATTTCAACAATCAAAAGAATTTCCTTCCTTCTCATTCTATTAGAATGTCGTCACATATCATATCTAGCTTTGTTTTGTGTTTTTTATAAATGTTTTATAAAGATTTAGTTTAATTTCCTTAAATTTTAATGAAACTACTGAAGTAAATATAAAATGTAGAAATTCTTTCCTTTTACAGCCATCAAAAATAATTCCAGAATCAAATTAAAAGAAAAACGTTTATTCTTCTTTTTTGATGGAATTACCGAATAATCAAGTGAAATTGGGCGTTTTACTTCATGATTAACTATTTATTGAAGTTTTAGTGGAAGATTAAATGTATCCATAATAAATATACCATTTAAATTTAGTGTAGATATTAAATGTATTTTCCCCTTGCTTTCAGAGATAATATAAAGTAGTTAAGTTCAAGTCGAAAAAAGTATCTTTATGAATTTTTAATGTTTAGTAAACATTCAAGAATCAAATTAATCGATAAACGTTTCTTTTTCTTTTTAGAAGGAAATAAAGGGAAATCAAATGAAAATGGATCATTTGCTTCGCATTGGCCTAATGATAGAAGCTTAAGTGTAAGATCGAATGAATTCGTTACCATTTTATCTGTGTAAACTGAACCATATTCAGTAGTTATTGCAGATAAATCTTCTCCAAAACAGTTTATGACTGTGAAAATAGCATGATAAGATGCACAAAAAGTACAATTTGCAATGTTACCTGAGAAAATACATTCTGAAACAGTAATATTTGAATCCCATGAAGATGAAAGAAGGCCTCCATAAGTCTCATCTGAAACTTTACACGAATTGTTTTTGAATTTTGAATTTTTGACATATGAATCTCGTGTTGTATAATGTATCATACAGTTTTGGTTTTCATGATTTTCATTAGAAATAAAACAACAGAAGTTAATTTGAACTCTATCAGATACAAAAAAATAGCCAGAATATTCTTGACATTTCGTAGAAGTGATGTTTATAGAAATAAGAGTTTTTTCTCCATTTAAATGATACATACTGATAGAACCAATCTCATTGAGGCCGCATTGATAAAGAGAACTTAAGTTTGCGAAATTTTTATTAGTTTCTGCTTCGACGTATGTGTAAGAATACAGTCCACTCTCGGTTGTATAGCATTTAATAGCACAAAATCTATCTTGGACAATCGAACTATTGCATTTGAAGAAGATGCAACCACCAACTCCTTCATTTCTTGCAATATTAGTATATCTGCATAATGAATGTAGAAATTTAATATCATTAATACTGCAATTAATGACATTCTCAGAAAAATCTTTGAAATTTGAAGAAAGTAAAAAGAAATCATAAGAAATTGTTGGTTTTGCATTATCTGTGACTCTAATATAATTTTCAGTGGGTGAACCATAGTATGTTTTCCATATTTCATTTGGTACTATGGATTTATTTTGAGAAAATTCGGTACGAAAAGGGAACTTCCCTTTGACTATTTTTGTGAGCGTAAGCCCATTCGAAGAAGTAATCCAGCTCAACAAAATATACTAGCAGTATTAATTCGCATCGAAATAAATTGACAAGAAGTAGATTCGAGAGGAAAATTGAGTACCTTTTGATACTTTGTTTGCCAGAAAGAACACACTTGTAAACTTTCTGACTTTGCGTGGTTTTGTGCCAGAAAGGACTCAATTTATCTTATATTATATAGAATCAAGAAACTATTCAAATGTGAGTGTTCAAGATATACTCATAGAAGGATCATTCGATTGCTTTTCTGATGACCAAGAAACAATCCATGTTCAAAATTATAAGAGTGTTCTCTTCTGATTTGTATGTAACTAGCAAGACATATTATAATTCTCAAGAAATGAAGGGAAAAAAAATAAAAATAAAAAATAAAAAATAAAAAATAAAAATAATTATAAGGAACAGTCAGAGAAGAAAAGTCTTCCTTCGTGGCGCTCTTCTTGCATTCGTTGGTAGTTCTCCGTAACTTTGTTGAGAAACTCTTCAAATGCAAGTGTGTGAGAGAATGATTCGTAGAAAGGTCGTTCGATTGATTTGCAGCTGCTCAAGAAAAGATCGGTGTTCAAAACTGTAACTGGATTCTCTTCTGATTTGTCTGTGACAAAGAAAGGCTGAAGTTCGGATGAAAGACGAGGAGGTAGATGGTTAGTGAAAATAGACAAAATAGAGTCAACTAAGAATGGACTAGCGTTGTATTTTGGTGGATCTAATTTAGACATCGCTGTTGACAACACTAAAGGTGATGTTTCACCTGTAGATGCTGCTTCTATGACTAGATTAAGCTTGCGAGCAATATCTTCTGTTCCTGGTAAAACTAGAAGTTCTTGTCGACGTCAACAATTATATAATTATTTACTGAATGACTATTACATAAATAATTTTGGCAAACAAATTAAGTTAGATCATATAGCACAAAAAAGTTCCCGATTCATGACAATCATTAAATATGAAACAGCAAAGTATATTTTAGCTAGATCATATTGATTACTCAACAAAAAACAGCTTCTTTACATTAATAATCTAATCCATTGGTATATAATGATATCATATTAATGCGAATAATATGCTGCAGTTATTTTTTAATGTTTAAAAAAGATTCAAGAATCAAATTAAAAGAAAAACGTTTCTTTTTCGATGGAATTAATTGATATTCAAATATATATGGATTATTTGCTTCACATTTATCAAGTGAAAGAAATGAAAATTCAAGTTTCAAATGATTAGTTTTGATTTCATTTGAATTAACTATTCCATGTGCACTACCTGCAGATAAATCATCTCCAGCGCAGTTTATAATTGCAAGAAAACCATACCATTCTGCACAAAAAGTATAACTTGCAATATTTTCTAAGAAAATAGATTCAGAAACAGTCACATTTGAATATGAAGATGTAAGAAGACCCCAATAGCTTTCAATTTTACATGTGTTATTTTTGAATACTGATCTTTTGACAAATGAATCAGAAGTGCATGTATGACACATGCAATTTACGTAATTTTGGTTATCATTAGAAATGAAACAACAAAAATTAATATCAGCTGTATTACCTAGTAAGCTATAACCAGCACACATTGCACATCTTGTATTTGTGCTGTTCGTAGATATAAGAGTTTTGTTTCCTTCACAATGAAATATACTGGCTTCTCCAGTATCATTGTAGCCGCATTGAATGATAGTACCTAAAATAACAAAATTTTTATTTGTTTCTGCACGAACAGCTGCAAATGAATACATTCCTTGGCGTGACGTATAGCATTTAATAGCGCAAAATCGATCTTGGACAATGGAACTGTTACCTTCGAAATAGATGCATCCGCCATTTTCTTCATCTCGTTGAATATTGGTATATGTACATAATGAATGTAGTAATTTAATATCATTTTTACTGCAGTTAATGACGTTATTTGAAAAATCTTTGAAATATGAAGAGTATAAAAAGAAATCTGAAGAAATAGTCGGTTTTGTATTATTTTCGATATTAATAAAATCCTTTGTTGGTGAACCATAGTATGTTTCCCATATTCCATTTTGTGTTATAGCATCATTATTGAAAAAACTTTGGGGAGAAAAGGAACTTCCCTTTGACTATTTTTGAGAGCAAAAGTTACAGACTATAAGTAATTCATTTCACAAATGATGCTAACTATGAATTACCAACAGTACAGGATGATAGGAAGTATTGCTTCTCTCATAGATATTATATATAAGGGGCAATGTTTAGAAAATTCCTTAATTAGACCTCGTGTAAAATATTTTCATTTCAAGGATTGACTAAGATAGAGCTGTTGACATAATTGCTCTATCTTCATAATGTTGGTAATCAGAATGTAACTTTGTTAAAAAAACTCTTCAAATGCAATTGCGCGTGAGAATGATTCGTTGAAAGGTCGTTCGATTAGCTTGTTCAAGAAAAAATCGATATTCAATACTATAATAACGTTCCTTTCTGATGTCGGTGACAAAGAAAAGCTCTCAAGAAATTGATGATCTGTTAAATTTATGATTTGTTAATATTTAGGAAACATTCAAGAATCAAATTAAATGAAAAACGTTTTTTCTTCTTTTTAGAAGGAAATATGGGATATTCAAATGAAATTGGATGTTCTGCTTCGCATTTACCTAATGAAAGAAGTTCAAGTGCAAGATCAAATGGATCTGTAGTAATTTCATGTGTATCAACTGAACCAAAATAAGTACCTACAGACAAATTATCTACAGTACAGTTTATAACTTTAATAAGACGACCAAGGACATAAAAAGTAAATTTTGCTTTGTTTCCTGAGAAAATGCATTCGGAAACTTTAACAAATGCTGAAATTCTTATTGCTGAATTAAGAATAGCACTCTTTGGATCATCAATTTTACATGAATTGTTTTTGAAAATTGAATTTTTGACAAAAGAATAAGTTGTATCATAATGATTCATGCAAGCATTACCTGATTCGCTGTTATCATTAGATATGAAACAATAAAATCTAATATTAACTTCATTATTTTCAAAATGATATCCTGCACATTTTTCGCATTTCGTATTAGTATTGTTTGTAGAAATAAGAGTTTTATCTCCTTCATAATGGTATATGCTGGCAACCCCAGTGCAATCATGGCCGCATTGATAGAGAGAACTTAAGTTTACGTAATTTTTATTTCCAGGTTGAATGTATGCGTATGAATACTTTCCGTTGCTTGGTGTATAACATCCAATAGCACAAAATCGATCTTGGACAATGGAACTTTCGCCTTCGAAGTAGATGCAACCACCATCTCCTTCATTTCGCGTAATATTAGTGTAAGTACATAATGAATGTAGTAGTTTAATAGAATTAATATTGCAGTTAATGACATTGTCTGAAAAATTAACGAAATCTGAATAAAGTAAGAAGAATTTTGATGAAACAGTTGGCTTTCTGTTATCTGTGATCCTAACATATTTTGCTGTTGGCTTATCGAAGTACTCTTCCCATATTTCGTTTGGAGCTAAGAAATAATTTCAGGAACTTGTCTGTGAAAAAAAGAACTTCCCTTTGGTTATTTTTGTAAAATATCATTTTTATCTAAAATCATCCGATTAATAGCCCATTCCATAGATTTTAAATGAAGAATATCTTTTAATTTTGACTTATGAATTACTGGATCTATAATTGTATTGGTAATCTATTATCTGTATAACCAAGCAAAGATATACATATAAAAAATAATTCTATATACAAATTTAATAAACTAATAAAAAAACAAAAAAACAAAATAAAAATAATTATAAGGAACAGTCAGAGAAGAAAAGTCTTCCTTCGTGGCGCTCTTCTTGCATTCGTTGGTAGTTCTCCGTAACTTTGTTGAGAAACTCTTCAAATGCAAGTGTGTGAGAGAATGATTCGTAGAAAGGTCGTTCGATTGATTTGCAGCTGCTCAAGAAAAGATCGGTGTTCAAAACTGTAACTGGATTCTCTTCTGATTTGTCTGTGACAAAGAAAGGCTGAAGTTCGGATGAAAGACGAGGAGGTAGATGGTTAGTGAAAATAGACAAAATAGAGTCAACTAAGAATGGACTAGCGTTGTATTTTGGTGGATCTAATTTAGACATCGCTGTTGACAACACTAAAGGTGATGTTTCACCTGTAGATGCTGCTTCTATGACTAGATTAAGCTTGCGAGCAATATCTTCTGTTCCTGGTAAAACTGGAAGTTCTTGCGAAATAATTTCGTTTTTGTCAACGTCAACGATAACATCTACGTCGAATTTCTGGCCCATACCATATATAAATGGTGTCGGAGTACCCAAAACTTCATTAAAACTAAGAGGAAGTACGGGCATAATCGTAGTTATCGACATGAAGGGTTTTACGAGCATTGAAGCTGCAATAACGCAGTTTGAGTATCTTTCGGGGTATTTGGAGTAGATTAATATGTGGTAATCGAGTAATAAAGCTGTATATAACTTTACAATGTTAACTGTTGATAAATGAGTAAGCAGACATGGAAGAGTAGGATAAGCTAAGCATTGATCTTCACTTTGCGGGGATGGCCATTGTAATGTAAAGTTTTTGGATAATTTTATCGGAGGAACGTTGAAGCAATCAATAGAATAGTAGTAATCTAGGAGAGTATGGAAGAATTTTGGTATTTTGATGCCTTCTAAGATCGCTATCTGTGGAAATTCTTCTGATAATCGCAATGGTTCTGGACAAGTGCCATGAGAAGTAGGAGTTAACGAATGGTATCCTGGTAATTCATATGCTCGTTCTTTTGCACATGAATAATTAGCTAAAAAAGTGACAAATTCAGCCATTGGCGAAATTAATTTTGCTTTTGATAAAATACAAAAAGCAAATGGAAAAGTAGTCGAAAATTTTGATGCAAAAAATGGAATATGAGATTTTGGAGGAATAAATACAACGCAAAAGCCGTATATCGTTTGAGAACTGTTATTTAAGAAAAATGGAAATGCTGATTGAATGAAACCGCGTGATTTCGAACTTGTTGCATATTTTAGTCCGTTCGGGAAACAGAATTGGCATATTTGCTCGTATTCTTGTGGAGTTCTTTGAATTCCTGTTGAAGGAAATTTCAAAATAATCCGAGGATTGTAATCACCTCCCCTTGATGATGATCCTCCGCCTGTAGAATTTAATTGTGCCGGATCTAATGGATTTCCAAAAATAATGAACTCTTCAAACATCGTGCAATCGTACTGTGTCAATGCAGGATGACTAAGTGTTGATGTCATTCGCTTACTCCTTATTGATTGCAATAAATTTTCGTCGAAATGACAAACTTTCTTTGAGCTCATTAATTTTGTGAGACGGAATCAATCATGGAAATTTCCTAAATCATTATGCATAAATATCAAAATTCTACTTCAAAATATCCCAAGCAGACAGTTCAACTTTGAAAAAGTGTTTTCAACATAAAATTTTTAAATTCAACAATACAAACATGTTTATCTTGAATTCGGCACTTACAATACGGTTAAAAATTACCATTTGCTTTCATTTTTAAATTCATAATGTATTAAATTGAAAATCTCTCATATTATAGTTATTGAAGAGATCTATATGAACAAATCCTGTGGGTTATTAGTGACTTTTTAACAGATATAGTTTGAATTCCATAGAATGCTAATATATTTAGTAATTTAAATCAATATTTGCAAGTTTTCATTGATATATGCGATTTTCTATTAGACTCATCATATCATAAGGTATGAAATCTTAAAGCTTCCAATAATATTGATGGAGTATGAATGTGGAGTCTAAATTAATCAATTTTTTTATTAATATTTAAAAAATCAATTAAATATAATAGCATAATAACATTTTATATATATAAAACACAGATAATTAATATAGATCGTCTTCATCAGATGTTCCTAGATCGAAAAGATTATCTTGAGCGTCTCCAGGCAAAGGACCACCATAATCATTAGACATTATTTCAGACATCTGAGCGAACTGTCCCTTTACGAACTTCCTCCATGAATTTGCGTCACATGGATCGTCTGGAGGGGATTCTTCGAACTTTTTTGCTCTCAATGATGAAGCAGGGGACATTGTTATGACAGGTAATGTTGGTATTGGCGGTGGTGGCCCGATATCTGCAATGGAAAGGGTAGTTGAGAAAGATTGAGCCCTTTGGTTAGTAACAAGACCAGAAAACGGTTTATCGAATGCAGGAATAGGCGGAGCAGGTGTTAAAAACGGGTGCATGTCATAGATATTGTTGCCCATTGACATAGGAGAAAGCGAAATTGCACGTTCCCTTGCAGGAGAATCAACCGGAGGTGTAACAATGGCATTGTCATTATAATTCAATGTCAAATCACCTGGATCCGAGATGATCTCTTCGTCATCAGAATCTCCAAGAATATCTTCATTGGTCATCAGTGGCATTTGGACGTAATCCTGCTGTGCGATGAGCGAGTTCTCTTGATTGGTGGCTGGTGGCTGCGTAAAAGCATCGGATCTCTCGGAATCATCGTCGGTTGAATAACATTCTGTATCAGAAATGAGTTCTTTGGCCACGGCGTGGAGATGGGCCCAGAAATTGGCCAATACGTAATGTCTCTTATTGAAAATATGGGCAATTCGTGATTTTACTTGACATCTTTTATCAAATTCGTTTAAATCGATTCCTGTGTTCTTGCAAGCCTCGAAAGTGGACAAGAATGCATTGTGGATCATTGATTGGCATGGATTACTGATTGTTAGCTCAAATAAGTAATCTAAAAGATGAGAAGCGGGTTCTATGTTAGTTTTAAGGAAAGGAATAAGGCGGGTGATTAATGTGATCGCAGAGCCTTTATCATAAGCAAATGGTTTGTTAGACATCGCAAAATTAGTGAATTGAGGAAATCTTGCTTCAAAGAAATCAGATATTTCGTAAAGATTATCGCTATCATCGTATTCTGATGAATCACTGTCTATATCTGATGATTTTGCGTATTCAACTTGAATAAGTAAAGAATAAAAAAATTTGAGGCATCCGCTTGCCAAAATCGCGTCATTTGTGTCGTATGTTAAAGCTAAAAGCTGATCAAGGCGTTGTTGTGAACAGAAAAACGAAATATTATTGGAAGGAATCGCGAGAATGCCAATGATATTAGATAAGATGATGGCAACACGATAACTCTTCTGTATAAACAATTGGTTGTATAAAATTTCAGATATCATGATCTGTTCGTAAAGAAGATTCAAAGAAGGGTTATTTTGAATAGAAATCATTCTGAGGGACTCGAAAATTGAATTGTAATGAATAGATTGTATCAGGCTCTCAAAGATTTGCGGATGCATTGCAAAAACACTGATCGCGGCTTGATTCTTTGATCTGAGAATAGAAAGGAATGTTTCAGCAATGCAGATGAGAGTGCGCTCAGGGCTTTCTGGTTTAGCAAATTCTAATACTTTGTCGAAAAAATATTCACAATTCGTTACATCCAATGGAAATCTTTCGGCGTAAGCACGAATTACTAAGTCGTAATATGATTGCTCTTTAGCGTCAAGTGAGGAATTAGTATTTAAAGCGCAATCGATCAATGTTTTGAAGTGTTGTTTGATAAAATCATGAATTATGTCTTGTTTTGATGCAATTGACTTAACTGCATTGGCTTCATGAACAAATTTGCTTAGTGTTGAATCGGAATTTTTAACTAATTCTATGATACTATCAATAGATTTCGAATTCAACATCTAAAAACAAATTTGCATTCAAAAAAAATTTTTTTTGTGCTGAGTGCTCACAAATTTTAAAATAATGATGGGGTAGTCACGTATCGTTCTTTTGGTAAATTGCTCTCCCATGCTGATGATGATTTCAAAATAAGAAAGAAAAATTGAATAAAAAATGTTTTTTTTGTCAAATGATATCAAAATTAAGTCATTTTGATTAAAAAAAAGGCATTCAACCTAGCTTGACTATTCAAATAAGTATTATCATCATGATTGGATACATGCAAATGTTATTACAATCAAAAAATCCAAAATTCAAAGTTATTTGCAACTTGGAAGAAGCTTTTCCGATTATTACGAAGATTCACAGTTTGAAGAAAAAACAAAGAATGAAACCATTTCATCAAATGGCAATTTTTACATTCATAATTCAATATTTTCTTTCCATTATCAAAAGACAGCAATTAAACTTAATTACGATAGCAAAGTATTACTTGAAACATGCACATTTTACAACAACAGCTCCACAGAAAGAGGTGGATCTTTCTATATCGCATATTCTGACTGTGTTTTAGTTCATATTTGTTGTTCACATTCTTCTTCAACTTCATTTGGATGTGGATATTACATAAGATACGCTAGTTCTGAAAGAAGTTATGCTTTTGAATCATCAGTTTCATCATGCAGTGGATATGGAACTGCATTTTATCATTATCAAAGATACATCCAAGTAAGTAATATGAATACATCGAATCACGAAATTACTAGAGATGCTGCATATCTTATTCAATCTCCAACAGGAACAGGAATTCTTAATCTCACAACAGCATTCAATACATCATCTAAAGAAGAAGCAGGAATGTTTAATTATGATGGAACATTTAAAATTACAAAATGCAATTATTTAAGTAATACATATACAGGAAGTGATAATGGAATAATATATTGTAATAATCAATGTACATTTTTAGATTGCAGTTTTATGAATAATAAAGGAAATAAATTCTTTTCTGGAAATCCAAGTATTAATCATTGTTATTTTAAAGATAATGAAGTAAGTGATTATCCAAACAATATTAATTCAGTTGATCCATTAGATTCATTTATTTCTCATTATACAACAGATAAATGTTATGATACATATTATTTTTATTATAGAAATGATAATATCAATCTTCCAAATTTTGAAGTTAATGTAATCAGATCATACAAAAGATATGATCATGAAAATGAAGAAGAAGGTAACGAAAATGAAATTAATAACATCCAAAACATTGCATTAAATGTTTATAAAACATCATTTGCAGAAGTATTAAACTTACCTACATTATTTTCATAAAAATTAATTAAATACGCAAAAATTTTTTATAATTAATTTTTAATTATTAAACTTACCTGCATTAATTTCATCAAAAGATAGATAACAAATATTTTATTTCTATTTTATTTGAGAGTTGATGTCTTTCCAGATTTTCTTTCACGTATATAATGATCATTATTTCTCTGATTGGTGTTCCTTTCTGTTTGAATGTATAGTAGATGTATCCTACGTCAATGAAACGGCCACCTTATAACATTGCATAAAATCTACAAAATGTAAAAACAATTCAATTTAAATTCAAAATCGTGTTTTCTGTAAACCTGTAATTTTTTTTGACAGAAGCTCAGAAAATTTGTATTGTCGTATACTAAGAATTTAAAAATCTAACTTTTAATTAAGCTGGAATTCGCACTGATATATGGGAAGATTACTACCCATTACCAGCACAAGATCCAACTACTATCGAAAATAATAAAAAACCAACTTTTTCTGGTGATTCCTTTTTACTGTCTTCAAATTTCAAAGAATTTAAAGAAAATATTATTAGTTGCACTTATAATTCCATTAGATTGCTACATTCATTATGCACTTATACTAATATTTCTAGATCATCAGGAGATGGTGGCTGTATATACTTCAAGGGCTCGAGTTCCATTGTCCAAGATCGATTTTGCTCTATTAACTGTTATACATCAGGGAATGGATTACACTCATTCACAGATGTTTCATATGGAAACAAAAATTTCGTAAACTTAAGCTCTCTATATCATTGCGGCTCTGACAATGCTGGTGAATGTAGTATTAACCATAATTATGGAGATAAAACTCTTATTTCTACAAACAACACCAATACGTTATGTAAAGATTATGCAGATTATTATTTTTCAAAAAACCAAGTGAATATTAACTTCTGTTGTTTTATTTCTAACCTTAATTATCAATATAGCTATTACGCATATCATTGGGAAACATCCAATTCGTTTATCAAAAATTCCATTTTCAGAAACAACTCTTCAACAAGAACCAACCAATGTTATGTTTTAGGAGCCATGCTACGATCAAATGAAACTGTTACAGAATGTATTTTCATAGATAATTTTGGAAGCATTACTTTTATAGCATATGACTATGCCACACTTACAGTAATAAACTCTATAGTAGATGATTTATCTGCTATATCTGAATTTGCAGTGGTTAAAACAGAAAACTTAAAAACAAATAAATTGAAACTTGAACTTACATTTCTTACACTAGGTAAATGTGAAGCAATGAATCCATTTATAATTGAATATCCATTAATAGCATCTGCAAAGAAAAAGAAACGTTTTTCTTTTAATTTGATCCTTGAATGTTTTCTAAACGTTAAAAAATAGTAAGCATATAATTTTTCCATGCTAATTTAAGATGAAAGATACGTGTAGAATTCAATATGAGACCAAATTATTTTTATCTCTTAAGGATACCCTTACATTGCGTAGTTAGAAAGAGAATATGATATTGTCATGATTGCTAAAGTTTTAGGCTCCAGAAATGAATATACATCAAACTGAAACAATTGATAAATTGAATGAACTTTTGAGAGGTTCTCAAATAAAAAAAATTATCTAATTTTTTACAATATTACTATTATTTTATCCACATATGTATATATAGTAATTTGAGAAAACTTTTAGGAAAAAATAAGTTTAATAAAAATCTGAATTTTACTTGTTGTGGGATTGTTATTAATTGACACTCCAGACGTATTACTAATAGTTATGCGTATGCAATTAAAGTATTTCTGATGGACAAAATGTGAGATTTATATCAGATAATTCATTTCTACTATTAAGTTATTCATTTATGAGTTTGCACTTATTCGCACTAAATAAATAACTATTAAAAATTGTTTTAATTAATTGACACCATATAATAGAGTGAATTTTGTTTGATCAAACAACAATAGATGATAGATATAAAGCCAAGAAACTTGCTATTAATATGCTCTACTTGCTATTTCAATGTAAGTATGATATTTTCTAAATGTTTCGTTCAGATAACTTAGATATATTAGTCAAAATTTGAAATTTTAATAGCACATATATTAAAAATAATTATTATTCATAAAAGATTAATGAAATAGTAAAAAAATCAATCAAATTATAAAAATACAACATTTAGAAGAATTCTTATTATCCTTCAAAAAGTCAGTATTTCTGCTGTAATTTTCTACAACATTGTAGTTATTGCACTTTGTCTATGAATTTGTATATATGTTATATATAAATTATATATCTAAACTGCCCATAAGTGCAATTTTTATATAAATTGTTTATTTCTTTAACAATTTCATATGAAATATGCTTTTTTTAAGCGTATCAAAGCTGTGTTCTTAATGTGCATGGATATATCAAGAAAAATGTCGAAAAAAAATGTGAATTCACAAATTCACTGAATTTTCACCGTTTTTTGAATTTTGCTACAGCACTAATATTAAATAATACTAAAATCTTCTGTCTTTGTAAAAGAATAAATTCTGACAAAAAGTGCTCGTTTAAATTTAATGATCATCTGTATGACTAAGTGGTAAAAAGTGTTTATGACCAAAAAAGGGTTACATGCTTAGTCTATTTTTCTGACAGGATACTCTAGATTTACATGATCTCTATTTCATATCTCCGTTTTTAGATTCTTCGACAGATTTTATGATAGAAAACCAAGATTAACAAATTTCCGGCATGTTAATGAAGAAATCTGCAGCTACCCTCAATATTATTTCAATAATCAGTATCGTTTCTCTTACAATTTATTTTTTTCTCAATAATTTAACAAGAAATAACAATACACACTTGGTTTTACGTATAAAAGCTAAGTGTCGAACTTAATCAACTTTACTTACTTAGCAAATGAATATTTTTGTGGTTGCGAGTTCTGAATGCTGAAGTTTTAGATTTCTCTATAAATGATATCATTGCACTTACAATGTTGTTCCAGCCTATCGCATAAATCATAGAAAATCCAAAAAAAAAAAAATAATATAAAGAAAATTCATGTCATGAAGTTCAAAAAATACCGTGTAACATTAAAATTTGTTATGCATAATACATTTTAGCTATTATTGATTTTTTTTAATTTTCGAGAAATTGAATGGTGAGTCCGATAGAGAAATTTTTAAAAATCCTAGTGCCTCATAGAAGTAATTTCCCTCGTCTCCCATACTTCCAAATGTATGCATATGACATAAACTTTTATGCATTACACAAGTGGCCAATAATATCTATAGAGTAAAAAATTAGAAATTTAATTTTTTTATATGATAGTTATATTTCAGATTTGCGAGCGTAACTTTTTTCTCCATGGCATACTTGTTTTAAGAGCAAATGATCAAAATCGTCCTTCAATTATTGAAGGAGCTGATATCTTTTGAAAATTGAATTGAAAGGGTATTCAATTTTCAAATTTCCTCTCAATTTTGGAAACATATCAACTCTATGAATTAACAATTATGTGCCTTCACAGTTTATCAGTCATATAAGGTGCTTATAAAGAAAAAAGTTACGCTCGCAAAATATGTTTTTATATAGATTTCACATAAAATAATTATGTAATTTCTAAAAAGAATATTTTTGTTCTTGAATATTAAAGTGTATTGTAGTTTAAAAAGTTTTAAATATGTTGCTAAAATTTCAGGTTTATAGCTCATGTCTAGCATGACTTCTTCGTATGCGCAAAAAATCTGACACGTAAGGGTATCCTTAATGAGAAATTGTGATTATTCAATAAACATATTTAAAACAAATTTTCTGATTATAGTTCTAAGCAAAAATGTTCAGAAATTTCGAAGATAATAATAAATTTAGTCAAAAGTAATATAGATAGACAACAATATATAAAATACATAACGCAATTTAAAGCATTTGTGCACTGCGAAGTACTGGAGCTCTGTCGTACTGTGAATAAGCTTGAGATTTAGATCTGGACTTGAAAACGCTTGGACCATCACTGTATCTGGCCTTCTTCTTGTTTCCAGTCAAGAATGTGTATAAAACGTATGAAATTATGCATGCAATTGCAGCTCCGACTCCAATGAAGATGTATTTCTTGGAGGAACTAGGAACAGCGACGTATTCGAGTTCAACATTGCCAAACCAGTTGATTCCATCCTTTGAAAACTGAACAGAAACTCTTCCTGGGTTATGTGATGGAGCTTTGAATTTTGCCATGCCTTCTGCGTCAAGAGTACCACTAAACACTTGGTCACCGATCATGCAGTAGCACATTCCTGGCTCTGCAAGGGAAACTCGGATTTGTATTTCGGCTCCTGTTTCTGGAATTTGGGAGGGGATGACAACATGGAGTACTGGATCGTATTTAGGAGGTGGAGTCCTGATTTTACTCATAAAAGCTTCATCTGATAAATCTTGATTTGAACCAAATAGATCGATTTTCTCTGTAGGCTTCGGGGGTTCTTGTTTAATGACAACATCGTCTTCGGCGCGTCCTTTCTTACGTAAATTGCGTGGAGCTTGTTTTCCAAAGTTAGATTCGGGTTTTTCGGCTATTGGGGGAGGAGGTAAATCGTCTTCACTACGGCCATGTTTAACGCGACCATGTCCTGCGGACAAAGAAAATGAAAATAGAAGAAATGAAATCATCCCTATCATCAAGTGATTTTGACACGTCAAATTGAAATCTGCCATGTCAAATCCATTTAATTTGGTCACGTAAATCTTCTATCACTTCAATAGATAATTCAAACAGTAGTAATAGCTAGAATAAATAGGATTCGAGAATGTAATGTATTGTATGAGACTGGGCTGTACATGTTTAGTTTGTTTTGAATCTCTTATTGAAAATTTCTTTGTTATGAACACGTTTAAACCTCTGGAATATGCATTACTGGAATGTTTGCAATATGAATGGCTAATAAATATCCGATGAAATGAAAACAATTTTATTTTTACAATTTTTCAAGCGATAATTTAAGCATATCAAAAATATTCATGTCGTGTATTCAATATAGAACGATTATTCATAAATTTTATATTAATTAAACAACATCTAAAGTCAAATGAATAAGAAAAATGATAATCAATATGAAAAGATGTCATCATTTAACTTTAATGTAATACATTTTAGCGTTAAAGCAGATGTATGCTCTATTTTTAACGAATGAAAAGAATAACAATCTATATTTGACTTCATAAAAGAATATGATTCAATCAAGTATGATTTATCATAATTGTTATGCAACTGTGATTTGATTCATTGTTGTTATTATGATTGAAACAATATGGATGAAAATGTTGAACGATTATTATTAATGAAAATCTGTATTGCAGTCATATATCTTATTGGCATTGTCTGACAATATACAAATGTATGATATTTTACTTTTAGTTCACTGTATTCTTTTAGGATATAATCCAATTACAAATTTCATAGCAATTCATAATTGGATAACATCAGAAAATATGGTAAGTTGTATATTTAACATATTTGGAATATGGAATTTATAATTGTCACTTTTACAATTGATCATTTCCTATCTTCATTTACGATTTTGAATGTACAAGGTATTTCATTATGAACAAATAAATTAATTATACTTTATGATTAATCATTTAGCTATTTGAATGATTTTCACCCATCAAGCCAATTTGAAATGATTCTATGAATATATCTCAAAATTTTCAAAGAGCATTGAATATCATGCATCAAAAGACAAATGGTCAATAGATAATACCCAATCTGAAATTTGATGTATTCGCGCTATCAAAAAATTGAATAGAATCTCAAAATAATTCAATTTTATAAACTTTCAAATTGGTTCAATCAATATGTATTATTACTTTTCATTTGCATGCCTACGAAAAGAGTGGAATGATTATTATGAAGAAGATCCATCCAAAGTGATATATAACGGGCACACACAAAGACTTTTATTAGAGGAAGGTAAAAATTACTATATTACCAACTGCCTCTTCTCAGAGAATATTATTTCAGGTGCTATTTATTTTAATTCTATATATGATACATCAAAACTCCTAGTTGAGACAACAAAATTCTTAAATTGTAGTAATACCGAAGATGGAAGATGTTTGTATTTTTCGCTTTCAGGCCAATGTGTCCAAGATCGGGTGATTGGTGAATCATCTAAAATACCGTATTTTAAAACTGGAATCTTTTGCTATTCTGATATTTCTTTGAAAGATTCATATCATAACATAATTACATCATCTTCAATCGCTAAAAGTGGAGAAAATAAATTAGGAAATTTCAATATTTATCTTCAAAATGGGAAAATTAATTTCACAAACAATAATATTTCTCATTCACAATGTGATACAAGATGCATTGCAGATTTTCGAGCTTATTCATCTGGATCGAAAGTATTTTTTTCTAATTTTTTTGCAAATAAGGGCAATCCTCAAAGAGAAGATGCATCTATTCAATTTATGCAATGTGCAACAGCTATTTTATTTGATTCAACAAGTTTCACTAATATTACTGATTATTATTTAATTTTTGCTATTTGTAAAGCAAATATCACGAATTGCTGCTTTTCAAATAATAACATTTCTAACTGTTATTTCTATTCATATAATACCATTATTATAGTTGATTTTTGCTATTTTGATGAGCAGGCACCGAATATTTCAGGGTCTGTTGAAATAAATGACAGAGTACAAGCAAATTGTAGATTAAACAATATTTATAAAAAAAAAAAAAAAAAAAAGGGAGTGGGGCTTCCAGGCACTTCGTGCCCTCTAGCCCCGAAGATGTTTAGTATAAATGAAGTTTTTTATTCGGAAAATTGTTAGTCTTCTGGTGTGAATTCGGAGGACTCTTCTTGGATAGAGTTTTGTATTTCCTCCTCCTCTTCTTCTTCCTCCATTGCTTCTGGGAAGAAGCCTTCTTCTGGGTCGAAAACATTATATAATGTGTAATTGAATGACACATTATATCTTTCCTTGAGTTCGCTCCTGACAAAGAACTTAGTTCCAGGAATACAGAAGACTTCTGTGCGTTGGAAAAGCTGATGTCCTGGAACGAATTTGGCAATTAGAGACTTCTTTTTTCCGAATTGTTCAGGAGTTTTCATGACGACAGTAACAACATCTCCATCTGCGAGGTCTTGTTGTTGTTCGGAAAGGTAAAGAGCAATGATATGAATGGTTGCTGCGTTGAATTCGAGAAAGTCGAATTCAAATTGTGTTGTCGTATAACATTCAAACCATTTTGTACAGTTGTCTCCGAACTCGTCAACGTATTCATCTTCGTCATATCCGTAACTAAAGACTTGGAATTCGGCAATTCTCTTGTCGAATGACCGTTGCATGTAACGAGGAAGATTTTGACGAACTTGGTATAAAGTTCTCAACATTATAAGCTTAGTAAATGTTGGAAAATACTGAACTAAGACATCGCTAAGCTCAATTGGATTTGGAATTGTCTTAGTAAGTTCAATTGAACTAGTAATTGCTTTGTTCAGAACTTCACAGAACTGAGTATTGTATGTAGCGTCTGGTTGTGTGTTTTCTTCGGCTTCTTTGAGATATTTAGAGCAAATTTGTTGAAGAATTTCTCTTAATTCGTTGTTAGATTTTTTGGTGGTTATTCTAACCGCTGTGCCGGTTCTTGGAGGTTGTGGGGCTTTGGCTTTGGTTAGCGGTTGAGAATTGTGGTTAACAGCGTTGGCTTCCATTAGCCAAAAAATGAACTGACCAGAAGTTTGTGGAAAATGAATATTGAATAAAAACGGTTTTTACCAACGGAGACCCCCTCTATTTTTTTATTTTATTTAATAGTTACCGTTGGCAAACCGTTCCATCTCAAATATTGAATGAACTATAAACGTTTTTTGTTTTCTATATATACTTTTTTGTCCAACGGTAAAACTTTTTATACAACGGTTTTTGAGAGTCGTCGCCGTTGACTTTTTTGTAGAGCACTCAAAATAGTATAACTTTGTCCGGACAAGTAAGGGTCTATCGTCGCTACAGGAAAAGTTACGGGCGTTCCAAGGAAGTATACTTTGAGAAGACTTTCCCCCTTATAGAATGAGATAGGACGGTTATTTTACAAAACTGACAACACTTTGACCGAGTAGTTTTTTGTGCTGAACAAAAAGTGTCATATAAACATCTGTCAAAAACCGCTTTTTAACTTCACTTAAAATGCCACGTAAGCTACGTAAGAATATACGTAAGAGGAAGGGAGCATTGAAACATCCAATAGTAAAACTGACACCACAACAACAGTTGCAACAACAAATGATGAATGACCCCACTATGTTGCAACAAATGTCAAGCAACCCTATGCTTTTAAACCGAGTTATTGGTGCACAGAGTGGAGGTTTAAGAGCGGCACTTTTAGCGAAAATGGCAGGCTATGGTGGAGCTGCAGACGGAACAGCTTATAACCCTCAAAGTCAAATGAATTTGAGTTCACTCAAAAATCAAATAACAGATGTCAAAAAGTCAAACATAGACATACAGAAACAAATAAGTGAAAACGAAAAGAAACTAGAATATGACAGACACACAAAGAAACTCAATGAGTTAAACGTAGAGAAAAAGAAGAAAGAAGAACAACTGAAAGAACTAAGTACAGAGGAATATGCGAAAAAGTGTCAGAAAAAGCAGCAGAAGTAGCAAAAATGGAACAAGATGTTATAAATTTGAAAAACCATACTACTCAATATAAAGTACTGAAAGATGAAGAAATAAAACAAAAAGCCCTGAAGACATATATGGATAGCGATGAGTATAAAAAGAAGTTGAAGCAAATGTAAGGCAGAAAAACTTTTACAGTTGCAAAACCAAACCGTACAGTATGAAAACTTAGCACAAGAAAGTAAAAATAACGACGCAGCCATGCAAAAGCAATGAAAAGCGCAGAATATATAAAAGCTAATAATGACTGGTTAGACGCCCAAGCCAACGCTAAAGCAGCCCAACTTATAGGTCAATAAGGACAAAAATACAAGCGGATGAAGACAGTTCAAATGAAGCTTTAATGAATGCTGACTTTAAGAACGCCTTCGAAGCTCTTCATAGTAAGGTGAAACTAGTGAACGACTTCTCATCTGGAAAGAAACTGAAGTCTGAAGGTTTCGACAAAGAGTTAAGAGAAGTAGCACAAAATATGACGAAAATAACAGATGCAGCAACGAGACAGGCAGTTCAAAGTGCCTATGACGCCGTTAGAGCAACTGTTGTGGAAAGTCAGAAAAAGAGTTACAACAGACCAAAACAGACCTAGTAAATGCTTTCTTAAAAACGAAAAGTCAGGTAGGACATTATGCTGCAGATGGAACATATGTGCCAGCTGTGGAACTTATATACCAGCTGGTGGAACTTATACTACTAGCTAGTGGAACTTATATACCACCAAACCCTCCAAGAGAAGCACCTGCACCAGGACTACCTAAAACATTTACATCGTCACATGGACACAGACACAGGCATGCACCAAAACCAACAGTTCAAAATCCAGCACAGCAACCAACAGTTCAAAATCCAGCACAACAACCAACAGTTCAAAACACTGCACCACAACCAACAGTTCAAAACACTGCACAGCAACAACCACAAACAGAGCAAGGACATAAAAGAAGTAGAGAACAAGGAAACCAAGAATTCTTAAAAATGCTTAAGGAAAATTATGGTTACCCAGATACTCTTGACTTTAGTGA